CAAAACAGGACTTTTTAAGTGCTGTCCTGTGGTATCTGACACTGGGAGTCTGCAGTGGGTCCTTGGATTATTGTTGATTGCTGACAGGCTTATTCAGGGTCATCTTGCACACACTCATTAGATTTGGATTTAAGGAGTTTGAAGCCCGGGTTAGTGCCTTGTGCTCAAAATGCCTTATTCCGTTTCATGAGATTCTGTTGAACTTTTGGGCTTTTACAGATGATAACCAGAGGTTGTGCTTCACAGAGGCAGTTTATCAATATAAAGGGAGCTAAATAAAGCAAACCAGTGTTAACACATGCATGCTGACTGAGCACTTCAACCACGGTTACATATACAGTATACTCCTTTTAACACAGCCTTCTAGAAATTACGCCATACTAGACCTTCCATTCAGATTAGGTGGGGCAATGCAAAGACAAAGATTAATATGATGTTGTGAAACTGCTCCTTTGACACTGGCTGAAGGGGTTAGTACTGCCATCCATAGCTGCTGAAAAACAAAGATTCCTGTTGAATGAAATGCATACAAAGGGAACGTTATAACACACACAACGAGGTTATCACTGTGCATTTCAAGTGAATTATGAGCTTCTATAGTGTCGTGCTGCACAAAACCAAAGAAGCTCATTCACTTTATTAAGCTCCTTTGCATAATATAATGAGAACAATGCATTCAACCCTCAGCTGTCATGAAGTATACAATATATTTGTTAGTTTAAACTATATAATAGGTTATATCATGGCCTAAAGTTCAACCCTCACGTCGCCTCTGACCTATTGCACATGAAGTTAAGTTAAAGAAGGAAAATAAAATGTTTTATTGTGAGACTTAGTCAACACAGTAACGTTTGCATTTTTAACATGGAATGTTTTTTGTTTGGAAAGCTGAAGAATTTGATGATAACTTGTCTGTTATTTCTATCTTAAGTCAAATTTATGACTTTTATAGAGGCTCTTTGTTTTGGACCAATTAGCCTTTTACCTCTTTAATAACATTGTGATGCATTCAGCTAGGTTCAGACATTCACCCGCTGCCAATTTATTCCCTTCAACACTCAGCGCTCTCCTGCTGACACCTTTGGGAACATTTCCCAGACATTAGCTGAGAAGTGGGGTACACCCTGGACAGCATAGACCACTGCCTTCCATGTAACTAATCTCACTGGGTATGAAAATTGTTACTTTTTTTCCATCCAAGTGTTCTACCTTTTTCTAGATCGTGTTTTTAATCTTACCTAGCACTTAAAGCATGTTTAGCACTCCAGTCTGCATCCGGAGACACACTTTAACATCGTCTCACACAGACTGATGGTAGGATTTATAGTGCCCAAGGACATTTCAGATATGTAAAGACAAGAACTGACAACAACCTTCTGAATAGTAAAGTGCTTTAACATATGCAACAAGCTTCTTGGTGGCTATACGTGATAACTGGGTAACCAGTGAGGACTGTATTGGGACCATACAGAAGATGTGACTGAAACAAATGGCCTTATGTACTACCACACCCCACCTTGTCCATTTCAAACATCAAAATTTATCTTGTATGATTTGACAGTAGGATCATTCAAAAAAGAAAAATCAAATGGCTATTGGGCTTTATTTTTTAAAAAAGTGTATGTGCCCATTTTTGAATTATTTCAAAAATTATGTGAATTATTTCCTTGTATAGTTAAGTTACCTGCTGCACCCCTGGAAAAAAAATACTGTCAAAGTGATGCAATTTAGGTTAGATGAGAAGAATAGAAAGCCACCACAAGCATGAAACGTTACTACTTTTTTCTTCTGTCTTGCTCTGACCTACTGTGTGTTACAGGTGTGTAGGTTAGCGTGCATGTGTTTGTGTGTCAGCCTCACCCCAAGGTGATGAGCAGGTGTAAGGAAGCATGTAGGTGATACCCTTGACTTCTCTCAGTTTTTGGTTTTCAGTTGCAAGCCTCTATTATCTGCTATGTGACACTTGTGTGCCAGCACACCTGCCATTTGCATTAACAGTGGTGCGGCCAGCCCCTCTAAAAACACACACACATGCACTCCGACTGCACTGTTATTGTCACTTCAGCGAGGGCTGCAAAGGCTGCTCTTTGGTTACTGATTATTTGTAGTATAAAACCACTTTGTTTTTGTTCCGACCCTAGTTTCAATTCATATGTAGCCGGCTGTCACTGACCTACATACACAGGGTGTCAGGGTGGGAAACTATCAAGACAGCAGTAAAACAATAAATCACTAACAGAGTAGAGTACATTTGGTGACCTTTCTACTGTCGCAATTTACCCCCATAACACTCCTGTCTTTAGCTGTAATTATGAGTTTACTGCTATAAGTACAGTTATATGAATTCCCACTTAAAAGAGCTTCAAAGAGCTAGTGCAAGTTTCAAAACACAATAGTCATCTCTGCAATCCCAGTTGTCTTTTTTTGTTTTTTCTAGAGGATTGGAACAAGGGGCATGAACCCTGTGCTACCAGTTGGCCCAGTTTCTAGTCGTTTATCTAGTTTCTAGTAACAGCGCTTTAATCCAGGAGAGGCCCCTGCCCCGGTGTGCATACTATAGACATGAAAGTCTATACAAGCCTAAAACATCCACACCCAGCTCAGCCTGATAGATACTCTACATATGTAAGTAGGTAGGGTGGTAAATCTACTCAAGGGTCATAAATACATAAAACCGTGAGATGGCCAGAAACAGAAGAGTGTTAAGGAAGTAAGACACAGGCCAGCAAAAATGGAAAATTATACAGAAGCTGAATCAAAGTGGGAAAAAGCCAACAGAAAGAGTTAATGAGTTGCTTTGCAACCACATGTTTCACAGTAACTTCAGTGCAGCACAGAGTTGTTTTTTCAAGTCTGTGCAACTTTACTGCCGTTCTTTCATTTGGTGTTTAGATGTAGCACGGTGGAGCAAACCCTCCTATAGGTTTACTATCAATCGCATTGTTTCCATACTCACTCATACCAAGTCAGTAGATAGAGTACAGCAAAACTACAATCATGATTTATGATGTGAGTGAACTAGAACTAAAAAATAACTCATATCTTAAAATGTGGATTGTTGCCTCTATTAGATTAAGAGTATTGCAGTTCAAGTAGACATTTATGCAGTTTTATACTAACTGGATTGGTTATTTGGCTTTAAAACAATATTGTTAAAGTATAGTTAAATTGTTCGTTGTTGCTTAGCAGGACAGACTACCTCACCCACATCTATCATCAGTGAAACCTGGATGAAACCTGAACCTGGATATGCACAAGCATACTTTGTTAACACGTTTCAGACTTCACTAAAGATTACTCACTTGATTAGTTTGCAGAAAGACTGGCAAAAATAAGCACGCCACGGTCTTTGAGTGCTGTAACACTAACACATGAAAATGTTACCTTTAACTATTACATCAGGTGAGACCTTTCAGTTTTTTCATTTATCATGTGTGGCGTATTTAAATCTACAGTAGCGATTTCCATTGTCCTGCTTTGTTACCACATCGTGAGCATTAAATGGGGAATGGGATCTGAATGCTCCCCTCTAGAGAAATATTTATTGGTGTGATTAGGCAGGAGAGAGCAAATAAAGCAACATGGGGAGGGGGTGGTAGCTGGGGAGAGGGTAATTTCTAAGATTTATGGCGCGGCACTTCACAAAATGCATGCATCCTGTAATTAAAACTCCCCCTTTGCCTCCAGCAGGCGTCTACATTAGTTGGCATCCCCCACAGCCCTCTCCGGCCCTCTGTTAACCCTTACCCACTAGATAATAAGATCTCACGACTGCTTGGCGTCACTAATTAGAGCTGAATGCCACAGAGAGGGGCAAATTTGGTAGCAAGATACAGGAACATTGTGCGATAAAGGCTTTCCTTTTATCTTTTCTTCTTCATGTAGCAAGCACAGGTTACAGGACAATATGGAGGATTATTTTACATCTTTTTACTAACTCGTTTGATAAATTCTTTGTTGCATATTACTCTTTGACCCGGTGCAGGAAGGTCATGAGAATTTCCCAAGTCAATCATGCGTTGCTTTCATTTTGTCTAATGGCACGTATCCTATTGTACACACCCTAGATGCTTTGTGTTGCATTCCTATGGGAATGCTGCTTTCATGACTTGTTACTTTTCTGCAATGGTGGGTTTTTTTGTTTTGTGTTTTTTTTGTTTTGCGTATTAACTATGTGGAGGCGTCTGCCGGCTGCTTGTTTTGTCCACCAACACACCAAAATCCAAAGAGCTGCAATTTGCTATCAGACAAAATGTTCACAATGGTTATTTGCGTCAGCTTTGTGCTGAGCCGAGTGATTTCCTGACGTGATATCAAACGCGCTTCACGGGCGTCTGCAACATCAGGGTTCGTGGCTTGGCTGCTGTTTTGGTGGCTGTGTAGTAACAATACGCCTTGGTGCTATTTTCTGTGGTTTTGTTTGGTGGTGCTCAGTTGTACATTGTGTTTCACAACCTTCTATTTTCAATAACACATTATGAAACTCCGTGACCTCACTTATGCACGGTGTGATGTACAGTTGTCGATACTCTCGCGCTTTATCGAGCCTTGTAAATATAACTGCGGACGCCGCTGAAGTTTGAAGATGGCGAATGTGTGCCTGCTGCTTTCTCGCTTTCGAATAAATGCGAGCGTGTAGTAAACAGAACTCTAAGAGGATGTTTCACAGTCACGTTGAAGAAACTAGGCAGGAAAAAAAACATCCATAGGCTCGGTGGCCTCATTGTCACCCCCTCGAGTAACCCGCTTCACTTTTACTGCCAACTTTCACTGAAGTTTCCGAGGCCCCAGGCCCCGCTAACAGCTGTACCTAATCAAGTCCTCATCAGGCCACAAGGTCTACTGTGTCTCTCAGATCTTCTTATTATCAGACGGAGACCCCCACCTCCCGTCTTGTTGTTGCATATTACAGCACTGACTAATCATTCTCCATATTTTAAAAATACTTTTATTGTAGTCTCAGAATTTAAAAACACCATCTATCCACTGTCTCTTCACAGCTCTATGAACTGGATGGAGACCCAAAGAGGAAAGAGTTTCTGGATGACCTCTTCAGCTTCATGCAAAAACGAGGTATGTTTTCATATCCTTGTCCCCCTGTGTCAAATTTGATTTCACTAACTATAGGACGTCCTATTTATTCCATTTCTTATCTTGCTGTATCACATATCCCCGCCTTATCTCCGGCCGCTGTCGTTGGCAGCTTCTTAATGTGATGAGGAGAGAGGATGATCACCCACCCCCTTCTTTCTCTGATATATGACACAGCACTGTCTACTCATCTTTCACTGGCATGGGTGGGGTCTTTATTCATTTCAGCGATGATTGCTTTATGGTCACACAGCAAGTCGGCGTTCCCAGGCTATAACTAGAAGGAACACACTGTATCGATGCTTGAGGATGGATTAGTTTACCTTCCCATCCTGCAGGCTGTCCGCATAGCTCGACCCCCACTTCTAACACTACACGCATAACCACTTTTCACTCTTCTTATCTAAACACCTAACAAGAAAAGTGAATAGTTTGTATTTTCTTGTGTTCAGTGTGCTAACGCCAGACTGCCAACTTGAGATAATTATTTTCTTGAAGCCGTGTTGATTTCACAGGATGCTAATGGCTGATATGATCAGATCAGTGGGCGGACGACTGACATGGGAGAAAAGAAAAGTTTGCTCGTGACTGAAAAAACAAAAAGCCAAGCAGTAGTAGATGTTCACACAGCCTCTGGTAGTGTGCTCCTAGATTCTGAAAGCGCCATCTCTAGGCCATTATAAGAAATATGACGTGAGAATTATAATCACTGAGAAGACAAATTGATTAAAAAAAATGCTTTGATTGGTTTGGTTTTTCAGCCAATATAATAATAGCAATTATACAGCATATTAGTAATGTAAATGAAAGCGTTTTATTCCGTACTTTGACCTTGAGCAATAACTAAATTCTAATAATTTTCTCAAATAAAATCAAAATAGCTGTCACAATTACTCTGCCTTTTTTCCCAGACATTTTTAGAGCAACTTCTTTCTCATCAGAGTTTGTCTTAGCTTGTTTCCAATTATCTTTACTAGCTGTAAATGAGTCACACGTCTAAGTTTTGATAAACTGCCCTTTGGGTATAAAAACCTGTTTCTTTGGACATCCCCTGAACCCCCTTAACCCCGCCCTCTGGTTTAAAAGAAAAGTTATTTTAAAGAAGATTTCCAAGTAGTATTTTAAATGTGGATTTGGAAAAGACAAAGTTTATTGTGCAGTAGTAGAGTTTCTAATTCCCCTAATTAGATAAAGATCCCCTTTTCAGTTCTGAGAGGAACCACAAATCTCTCTGGGGTTGTGTCAGGGAGGGCAGCAAGTGTAAAAGCTAAACACGTGGAGTTGCCCACAGTGGCGTGCCCTTGTGAATAAGCTGAAAAGTATCTAATGATAATAACGTGTTGTTGTAATTGAAATATTAGATATTTAAGGTAAATACTTGTAAAAATGACAGTTTTCAGTGGAAAAATAGTTCCAGGTTTTGAAATGTAAGAATTCAAAGTTAAAAAGTGAGGGCTGACCTCTGAACCCCATCAGGAGTGGACTGGAAAAAAGCGTGGTCATACAAGGACACAAACCACTGACGCTCACAGGAGTTTGATATATTTGATGCTTGTTCGTTTCTATGTAAAGCCGTTAATGTCATAAGTGGTCTTACTCTGCCCATTGTTTTGTATTTTAACATCTAGCCAAAAGACAGTAAATTGTTCTGAATCTGGTTGATTATTTGTGGGGTTGCCTGGATGCCAAGTTTGTTGGTTCAGCTCAAGGGTAAAAGCAAACCTAGTGTAGTTTCCTAGCACGGGCGAAGCATCTATTAGATCTGCGCGTTGGTGAGCTCCGCCACTCGACCGCAGCACCGTCACTCTGAGCACTTAAACAACACCTTGCACTGGCAAATTACTGTTTGCTAATACTGAATGGTAAAAGTGTGGTCTTTTAATCGTGACAAAAGAGCCAAAGAAGGTTTTGCTACAATTAAGTTGTGAGCTTAAACATGTAAAATGAATGGGTGTGACCGCGCACCACCTTTATTGGCTAAAGGGAGACAACTGTTATTTCAGGTACTGTTGTTTGTCTTTGATGTTATTTCATATGTATTTTATTGGTGGAGCATGACTGTATTTTTTTCCTGTTTCCTGTTGCTGCAGGAACCCCAGTGAATCGTATTCCCATCATGGCCAAACAGGTCCTGGATCTGTACATGCTGTACAAGCTGGTAACAGAGAAGGGTGGCCTGGTGGAGGTTATTAACAAGAAACTGTGGAGGGAGATCACCAAAGGACTCAACCTGCCTACCTCAATCACCAGTGCAGCCTTCACTCTTCGCACACAGTCAGTATACAAACACTCGTTTAACTGGTGCTTAAAGGTTACTCAGGGCGTTTTCACACATGTAGTTTGTTTACTCTGGCCCGACTTTGGTCATGAGTTTGTAAACTTGTAGTTTTTCCTTTGGTTTGGTTTGACTTCACATGCAGAAGTCCAAAATGCATCCGTTACTACAAAACATGTAAGAATGTTCAGTCCACTCATTTGCCGGATGTGTCTGAGGCGGGAGCAAGAAAAATAAATACAGGAAGGTGGTGCCGTGTTCTGGTCTACTGGAGAACATGGAGAATTTCTTTTCATTTCACGGTTAGTTGTTAGCACATCCATAGTACCTTTCCGCATTAAGAATACAAAGCATACATGGCTACGGGACATTTTTTTTTACCTGAAACGTTTAACGTACACCTGATAGTTGGTTCGCATCATTTTCACACCTTCTCCAAAGGGTCTCGGTGCTGTTGTTTTGGTCCACACCCAAGTGTGATTACTGTGTTCACAACCAGACACACCAAATGGGGAAACAGAACCAGTGTCCGATTTAAACTGACTAAATACCGTGTGAAAATACCCTTAATAGCACCCTTTATTAATTAAGCAATTAAGCAAGAGTTAGCTAAAGTTAAATCATTCCATACTTGTTGCTGTAGAAATTAATCCCTATATTAAGACTGATCACTCCTAGTTAGCTGAAGTTGGGCCAGACTTTGTCTTCGAAAACTCAGAAGGGCACACCTGTTGTGCACTTTGTTGATTTCAGATACATGAAGTACCTGTACCCATATGAATGTGAAAAGAGGGCACTGAGCAACCCCAACGAGCTTCAAGCAGCCATCGACAGCAATCGACGGGAGGGCCGGCGACAGAGCTTTGGCAGCTCTCTCTTCACCTACTCTCCCAATGGGACTCCCACCATGCTGTCCTCGCCGAAGCTCCCCACGCCCAGCATGGGCTTAACAGTGGGCACCAACGGGACCTCGCTGGGTCACATCCACAAGATCAAGAAAGGTGAGATTTGCTTATTGCGCTACATGCACATCGAAGAAAATTTACTGTTTGAGGGACATGTTCTTTGATGTTGATTGTTTTGAACAGTGTTGGTCAAGTTACTTGAAAAACCCCAAAAAGTAATCCCGTTACTTTACTGATTACTTATTTTCAAAAGTAATTAATTACTTAGTTACTTAGCTACTTAGTTACTTTTTAAAAACATGATTTACAACCTGAGGAGGTGATAAAGCAATAGATCTGTCAACCCAATTCTACTTTTTCTGCATAATCCATCATACAAAATGTAATCAAATGGAAAAGTATCTTTTTTTTTAAACTTATTTTATCAGTTTTAATCTTTTAACTTCATGCATGAAGCAAAAATAAAATTATATGCACCGTTCTCTGACTTGAATAAATTTGTTTAACATTTAAACCTATTTTCTGCACATTCCAGCACATAAAATAAAATATTTTTTGTGTTTACACTCAGTCTTTCAAATAGATGCAAGTGAAACACAGCAGAAAATAAATAAAGTCAAAGACTAGCGGTCCTTTTGCTCTATTTTCACCTGTAAAGCAGGAGTAGGGTAGGCGGAGGTTTACCCTGGTGCAGGTGTGCCGCGGCGGTCAGTGGAAGAATCCGCGAGTTTCTCTGTGAATTTCCCATTAGTCGTAGCGCACTCGGTGCTTGTTTAGGGTTTTTTTTTTTTCGCTGTAAAAAGAAGTTTTCTTCCCACGCACAGTGGACAAACAATGTTTTTGTAACTTTTTATGGAATCAAACTTAAAGTAAGGTCAGTACTTCCACGCTTTAAACGCTGCACGCTCATACTCTCTCCCACAATCGATATGTGATCCATTGTTGATCTGCACACAGCTGTTGTCACTAACGGCGCACTCGCTTACGTCACTGTCGTGAGACATTCTCGCAAAAAACACGGTTTTAGTAACGCAGTAACGCAGCGTTCCTACGGGAAAGTAAGGTAATCTAATTACCGTTTTTGCAATAGTAATCCCTTACTTTACTCGTTACTTGAAAAAAGTAATCAGATTACTGGTTTTGAATAGTTAAATAGAGATGGACCGATCCGATATTACGTATCGGTATCGGTCCGATACTGACCTAAATTACTGGATCGGATATCGGAGAAAAATAAAAAATGTAATCCGATCCATTAAATATCACGAAAGCACCTCACAAAACTTGCAACACGCCGTAACTCACCTCAGAACGTTAGCACGTCGGAGCAGTATGCATCACGTGATAGAGCGGCTGTGGCATGCGGGACCTGTGGTGGTCTGGATAGCATGTTGGAGCTTCGCTAGCAACCCGGCATTTCATCTCCGACAAAGTTATCCCCGAGAGAAGTAAAGCAAGTGTGTAAGTCCATCTCTGAATGTTTGTAAAGCATTCCTGCGTTAAGCTTAACTATGGAGCGACTGCCTCTTCTTGCTGCTACTTCAATCATGAAACTGATCAATGATCAGCTGATCGGCTTTTCTGTCGCGAGTCCGTCTCTCTTGTTTGTTTTTGGCCCACTTTGCACCAGAAAGAGGAAACCAGCAGCTGAACAACAGCAGCACGTTTAAGCTTGATCAGCTGTTGTTAGAATGTATTTAATATTACTTTCTACTCCAGGATCTTTTTCTACGTAGCTGACGGCTGGTAACTGTGCAGGGGCGGATCTAGCAAAGTTTAGCCAGGGGGGCCGATAGGGCATGAACAGGGAAAAGGGGCACAAAGACATACTTTTCTTTCTTATTCTCATTTAAAATGTCGAGCTTTTAATAAATAATTATCTGACACCCAAAGTTTTAATTTGATGTAAAATGAATAGAAGTCAATTACTGTATATGGTGACTATTAAGTCTAATATATATACCCTAGTAAGCTATAGTACTCTTTACTTTGGGAAGGTACCATCTGTGCAGTCTGCAGTTTTTTTGAAGAAAGATGTTGAATCTATTTAATATTTCTTGAAAAATAATTGATTTCTGTGCATTTTTTTTCACACTGCATCAAATTAAGGTTGATTACGTCGATTAAGCATCATGAGGTGGAGCGTGAGGGGTGGTTCCCTATTTTTTATTTATTTATTTTTGTTGTTGCTGGGAGTTGGAACCCTATTAGTTAGGTTGCTTAATATTTACGCTAAGTACTCTTTAAAATACCAGAATAGGGAGGATGGTGTAGGTTTGAGTTTATTAGATTGATCAGTATTGCTGAACTATGAAATTATTTTTTTTTTGCATACAGGTATAACAGAATAGCTTTAGTGTAGTTGTTGTTTTAAACTTGAGTATGAACTTACACAAAATGCAGCAAGATATTTAAAAAACAGTTTTGTTGATTAAAAAACACTATATCGGATTCATATCGGTATCGGCAGATATCCAAATTTATGATATCGGTATCGGTATCGGACATAAAAAAGTGGTATCGTGCCATCTCTAGTTAAAATACATGGATATGGCAGTAACTTTGTCTACTCTCAGATCAAAATGACAAATTCAAGTCAAGTATACGGTTTGTCAGTATAACGTGACAGTATAACGATTTACTCTTGACTGAGTTGGATCAAAGTTTTGAAAATTTAAGTTAAAATGAGGATCCACTGTGAAATCTTGAGAATTTTACTGATAGCACATTTATGATCAGAGATCATTTCTGCCAAATTTATCTCTTAAACGGAAACTCCGATCTTCAAATAAAGAAATAGCATCAAATCTGATTTGCTGTCATCTCTCTCTTTAAAAGAGCTTAACCCTGGGACCTTCCCGTAACACACTGCATCTTATTTATTATCTGTTTTCTGTGGTCACGCTGAAATTTATGTCTGGGAACTATAATGCATCATATGAGTTTGCTTGACTTTGAGTTCCCCTTTCTCTTTGTGCTGCTGGGCCAGAAGAAGAGGGAGGCCAGCCTCTGGCAGGCGTCAGCATGGCTCGTTTGCCAGCGGGGGGCTTGGCAGGTCACTCAGTGGCTGCTGTGCAGGCAGCAGCAGCCCATGCCGCCATGGCTGCTCAGGTGGCCGCTCTGGAGCAGCTGAGGGACAAACTGGAAGCAGGCGAGCCGCCAGAGAAGAAGATGGCGCTGTCTGCCGAGGAACACCAGCGACTGCTGCAGAGAGCGCTGCAGCAGAACCTGCTAGCCATGACTGCTCAGATACCTATGAACATTCGCATCAACAACCAAGGTACTGAACAGTGGAGCTCTGACATATTCGGGTAGAGAGAGAGGAACAAAACAACCAGTCAGACATGACTTTCATGTTTTGCACAGTAGCTGCAGGCTGTTCTACACTCTCGTTTGAGGAAATTCCTCCTTTATCTAATCAACATGAGATAAAAGAGTACACCACCTTTTTTACATCTCCCTGGTTTCAAAAGCTCAAAGATGCAAGAACACTGATTTTGCTGATGTGAAATGAAACTGTAATTTCTCACTTATTCTCGATTGTCAAGAAAAAGCAAATGGCCAAGTCCAGATAAAAAAGCAATATTAAGATTGCTGGGAAATATTAAGTCAATAATGTCAGCGTGAGCGCTAGCAGCAGTGATCTGTGTATGCAAACACCCACGTGAAAATGAAAATGTCACCTCTGGTAGTGGTTAACATGTAAATGAACAGTAAAAGAAGAAGATGAATTAATGTATTTCAAATGGTAACGGTCGGTTATTAGAGTGTATTTTTAGGGACATTCGTTTGTTTGTTTTTAACTATTCCAGAGTTGAAGTTTATTTTTGTCTTTACTGCAAATCAAAATGAACTAAAAATAAAAATCTGGAGTTATTACGATATCACAGTTACTCTTGGCATCACAGGTTTTTACATTTCATTGTTGCCAGTGCGAGCTAGGTTTGACACATTTCCCTTTTCATGACAGTTAGTATCTCAATGCATTCTTGTAATCTCACCACAAACCACAGCACCCAACTGCGAGAAAGTAACACCTAGCAGGGCTATAGGTTGACCTGCTTAGCTTATAGAAGCAGCGTGCGTGCATACATACATGCATGATTATCTGTGTGGGGATTCCCTTCTGTAAGCACGCACCTTGATCTTATAGAAGGATTTGTCTCGGTTACTGTCTATCTGATCGTGCACATGAACCATTTCTCGGTAAGTGACTTATGAGAAATGTTCATTGGGACATTTTTGAAAAATTCAGTTTTGCTCCTACTGTGGGACGGTTTTGTTTCTCCATTTGGTTTGAGTATTCTTAAGTCAAATCTGGATCCAAAAATGAATAAGGATGAAAACTGCTTTCTTCCAGATGGCAGACAAGACTCAGCTCTGAACCTCACCACCAACGGCACAGGGAGCATCAGCATGTCCGTGGAGCTCAATGGAGTGGTATACACTGGTGAGCAGCTCCTCTGTAACTTAAGGTGACACAACAAAATGTCAGATATGAGCTCGCTGCTTCGCAGTTAGTCATGAAAAGTTAAGTATTTCCACTAAGACTCTTGGCTGACTTACAGATCTGGAGAAGCATCAGATTGGTATAGAGACCAGCCCCCTTTCTTCCTCCGAATGTTCCTATCAGCACCTCTTTTGTTTCTGTTTCATATGTTGTTTCGTTGCTTATTTGATTTGTGAAGAAATGGAGAAATGATTATAGCTGTAAGAGATGTTACACAGAGCAGATTATTCCTGTTTTGTGGCAAAGCAGAGTTGTGCAGTAACATCGTAGAGTGTTGTTGTTGGAGGAAGATTACCAAGTTTGGTAAGACCTCAGTCTCGTGGGCCTAGACCCCTTGGATAATCTGGCTGTTGGAGATTGCTTAATGTCGTTAGGTGAAATTGGTCAGAAATAGGTGTACAGTTGTGCACCAAAGAGCTCTTTGGGACTGCTTTAGTCACTAGCAGAACGCTGCTGTCTCCTGTAGTTTAAATGGCAGGTGCCGGCTTGTCTGCACAGTCTCACTGACTATTTGCAGAGCTGCAGTGAAACGTCAGCGTGACTCAAATGGGAAACTGAGCACGTTTGCCTTGAAACTAAAAACTAAACTAAAAATTTGTACCTGAAGCTGTGTTCACACATGAAGTGATTCTCAGTAACCAGAGGCATTGAATTGCGTTAAGAGAATAAAAACGGGGCGAAGACAAAGTTGGCAATGTGATTGAAGTATCTATCAAGCGTTGATAGCCAAACAATCCGGTAGTAAATAGAATAGAGGGTTACCTAGGTAACTAGAGCCTGAATGTTGTTAGTGACCAGTCGTCAGCTTCAGATTGATGCGTGAAGAGCAAGTCTCTTCTGGTGCAGCTTAAACAACGCGTTTCAAATGGCACAACTTTTTCTTTGAAAGTGAATGTTCGCTTTTCACCGTTTGACTACTAACAGGTGAGCAGTTGGCACCTGTGTCTGCAGACAAGTCAGCTTCTTCCACACAAACTGCATGCGACTATAGCAGTTGCAAGGAGGTTTTTGTTGAAGCACCTTCCCCCTCGAGCAACCACTCGCCAGTTGGTCAGGAAAGGCAGTTTTTTTCCTAGCAAAAAGTGGTCGCCAAGCGGTTGCAGATCAGTATATACAGACTGTAATTCAAAGCATTTGACAGATGTTTTGTACTCTGACTCCTTTTTGTTTTCCCTCTTGTCGTTTTCTATCCAGGCGTTCTTTTTGCTCAGGCAGCACCAGGGTCAGCCTCGTCTGGTGCATCTGCATCGTCCGTCACCAACAAGGCTCCCAGCAGTCGCATCGCTCCGCAGCAGCAGCAGCAGCTGCAGAACACACCTACCTCAAACTCCAGCAACTCATTGTCTTAACAAACTCCCAGCCTTTCCTTCATTCATATTTTTTTTTATTTACCACGCTAAGTGAAGCCAAAAAGCAACCTCATTTTCTATCTCACCAATGCCAAAAATAGAAAAGAAAAGAAAAGAGAAGAACCATAAACCATACAGAAAGACACAAACTGGAACTCTGTTCACTTGAAGTACACTATCTCAGGTTTCCTCTCACAAACTCTTTTGTTCTTCATCGCCAAAATGATCTTGAAAAAGCAAAATCTCCCAACTGAGAGCCAGTATATGCTAAACAAAGACATATGCACAGCCTGTGAATTATTTATTTCTGCATCAATGTACAGATTATTTGGAGAAAAAAAGAGAAGATAAAAACTAGGAAAGCATTGTTTACACACACAAACACAGCTACTGACTGACAATGATGTTTTATCCTTCAGGGGAGAGACTTTATTTTAAGTTTTCATTGTCATTATTGTCATTATTTTATTCTCTTTATTGTTTTTTTGTTTTTTTTATCATTTAAATCTTTAACAATCTTTTCACTGCAGGAAAAAAATCTATATTAAGAATTCTATACAAAAAAAAAGAATATCATCTATTTTTAATCAGAATAACTTTAAGGATAAGTGTTGTTTCTTCAGGGCATATATAAATATATATAAATATATATAAATTGTACCATTGTGACCTCATTTTGGGTAAAACCTTATACACACGGCAGCCGTTTTGAGTGTCTGTGTGAGATAACAACGCAGGTCTGTGCTCCTGTCGTGTGGGGACGTATGCATTACATCACAGATTCTCCTGTGAATAGACAGAGTGACGTCGGCGTCCCGACTCAGACTAATGCAAAGGAGCACGCATTGGAGGCGGGCATAGTTGTTCTTCCTGTGACGCTCGGCTAATTTAGCTAGAAAATCCACTCCTGTTTGTTGACACGAGGCTTGTTAAATACACCCTTTACCTTTTTTTTTCTCTCTCTCTCCATTATGCTGGTAGAGTTTTCAAAATGTAAGAGTAAGGTCAGTTTGTACAGGCGGTAAAATTAAGTTGTTTCTTTTTGTTTTGTTTTTTTTCCCACCTCCCTGCACCTCATCACAGGATGGACTTTCTCAGTGCTGTCCACACCAAGTGTTCCTTTTCCTGTTTAGGGTTCAGATTTATGTGGAAAACACAGGTTTTAGGTGAATGTTCTCAGGTGTTTCTCGCTCTTAAACAAATATCCCACTTGACAGAGCACTGCTTTTCCACGTGTTGAAATCTGCGTTATCTTCTTTCTAACTTGGCCTTTAGTGGAGTGATTGTCTTTCAAAAAAAGAAAAGATGCATGCATGTATTTGTAGATAAAAAGCCCCCTTAATGAGATATGAAGTGATTTCCCATCTTAGGTTCGCAGGAGTCGAGCGTATACTGAATCTTTATTATTGCAGAGCTGCTCAAATGGACAATCAGGTGTCAGGAGATGCTTATCTGGGCTTCGGACGAGTGCTTTTTTTCAGCTCGTATGTGACATTGTGTTGTGTTTTCTTTTTTGGCTTTGTATTATAGATTTCAGATGCTTTTTATTTTTATTTTAGCGTTTTCAGCTTTGTTTTTGATGAATTTGTGTGTCTTCTGATCCAAGTGCTTCTTATCCCGCGCCTTGAGACGAACAGGGTCTCATTAAGGTTAGCTTGCAACCTGTCCGGGATCCTGCGATGGCTGAGAGGCGATCGCAGCTGCGGCGTTTGCTCGTGGCCTCGCGTCTTTGTACAAACTCTGTTAGCTTTACAAAACACAGAGGAGAATCTGTGTCATTTGTGTTCGTGCTTTTTGAAGTCAGTCAATCAATTCAGCTTTTTGAACTTTAACCTGTTACCTCTCTGAACTGTTAACCGTTAAAGATTGTTCCCCACAGCCCCGACACACACGCGCGTACACACACACACAGTCACCCCACTTCACAAAGCAGCTTCATTCCTACTGATGTTGGAAGTAAATCAGGCTTTGTACGTGGGTTCTGTTCAGAGACCTTAACACAGCATGAGCTGACCAGAGAGCGCGCGGTACCTCAGTTTAATCAGTTTTTACTGTTCAAGTCAAATATCACCAGATGGCTGTCGTGGCTTTGATTCTGGACTCACTTCTCGGTGGGAAATTACCACCAGCTGCTACAGAGCAACTGGTCATTACTTTTATGTTTTTTGTAACGGACCTCACAGTCATCACAGTGGCGTTCTTGAATTTCAGTGCAATGTCCACAAAGGATTGAACTGTCCATCCTCAGGCACAGGAAAGCAAAGGCGGACTTCAGGTTTATGTAAAACCCTGCTCGAGACTTCAGAAACCATTTGATTTGCAAATCGAATAACTAAATTCGTTTCTCTCCGCAAAACGCTTAAGCGCCTTTTAGATGCGGAATACAAAACATTGCCGGCTTTATCTGTTTACCGTAAAGTTCCTCCTCCTTCTCAAAGATGAGCCCATGGCTGAGGCAGCGACAGCCACACTAACCTTGCAATAATTGCCAGACACATGCAAGAAGTGTTGCATTTGTGGCATCGATTGCCAATGTCAACTATGATGAGGTTAAACCACACTTTTGAACATTTAGAGTTGTGAGTGTGTGTCTGCGTTTGGTGCATGGTGCAACATCAAGCAGTAGCTGCTCCTGGTTCTCACACGGGGGCTCGAGGAGGCCGTTCCACACAGACGCCGTAAACCGAACACACGGTTGCTGAGACACGATGATAAAACATTCAGCTGTTTGGCGAATTCTCCAGTGAACCCATGAGCACGTGCAGGACACCTTTCTGAAAAAAGTGACTGAAATTACGTAGTCAGACATGAGGCTGATGTGTTAGGACGCCGTCAGGCTCAGAGAGTGTCTACGTGTAGAATGTGTTGCTCTTCATTAACTCAGGCGTACAGCTGATTTAAATGTTTGATAAGTGCATCTCTTAGAAACACAGTAAACACTTTGTGAATGTGAGATTCAAAGGCTCAGCTCCATGAATGTCATCTGCCTTTTTTTCATGCCCTTACAGTAATGGGTTGGTATGTTGGAGTACTGCTTAGGCCCTAACCAAAACAAAACAAAAGGGGAAAATGACAGCCCTCACGTATTCCTGCTTCCTTGTATCTGCAGTATGAGTGGATACGAGGGCTGTTTTTCTTTGTATCAGGAGTAGCAGGTGTCACAGTTGCCAGTAATGGCTGACAATCAAATAGAGACGTACTGCGGCTGGAAGCATGTTGGGGGAGGATGGCTGGAGAGAAGCTAAATTCAATCAATCCCAATCTAAAGGATCAACACTGCTTTTTCACATTTGACCCTGTGACCTTTTGGCCCCCAAGGCAGCTTTTAAAGCACCCTCCCCCCCTTCGGTGAATCCATATTTATCGTATAACTATCGACTGCTTGTGTGTGATATTTGCACATGAACAACAAAGGTACCGCCACTCGACTGTACTCGCTCTCTCTGTGGACGGCAGCATTTTCAAGGAACATGTTCTTAACATGCGCAGTAGCAACAATCATGAGACTTAAAGACAACGCTGTATACCTCCAAACACTCTCGACATCCCTTCAACCACAATCAAACCCCGTTTCTACCTCAAGGACTAAAAGCTTTGGCAGATTTCTCCTGCAGGGCCACACCTGGGAGAATCCTGCTGGAGGCTGCGCTCAGGCCAAAAAACCCCACTCAAGTGATGGTGGTGCCGGTTCATAAGGATTTTAAAAGAGATTGTAGTGACCACAGACAATCAGCTGAAAATGCAATTCTCACCTTTAACGATGACCATTTTAGAGGCAGCTCTTTGGCAAGAGCTCCCCTCAGTGGAAGGTTTTTGTTACAGCGCACAATCAGTCAAAGTTTCCTGTATGGGGGGGAAAAAAACATGGAAGGATATGAAGGCTTCAACTATTCCATTTACTTTCTTTTCCTTTCTTTACTTCCTTGTGGTGTTTCCAGAGTTTAATGTTTGTGGGGGATGTAAAAGCTTCAGAATCAGCATTCAGATCACGGAACACTAAAACCAAACTTCACAGGCTTTTAGAATCAGTAGCTCTGCAAGGCACTCAAACAGGGAAGTGGTTCAGACAGGGAAAATGCAGTCTGGCCTGTATCAGTGCAATCATGTAGGATCCTCTGGTCAGAGGTAGTTCATCTCTGATATTTTAAGGCACAGTGTAGCTAAGAAAACTGCATCAGTCTTAACTCTGTAGCCTGTAGAGTTGTGAAAAACAGATTTTTGTTCAGGCTGGAGCTTTCGTTTTTTATTGTATGGTAGGAAGTTTGACTCCTATAGCTTACAGATGTTTTCCATCATTAGATTAGACAATGCCTGCGCAACATGTTTGGCTTTTTTATTATTTTATTCGTCTTTAATGGCCCTGGACTGTTTTCAGAAGCCTGCTTCGTTTGACACTGTTGTACAGACTTGAACAGCAACATAACTCATCTATTTTCCTGTCTTGGAGTCCAATTTTGATAACAGTATGTTAATATCAGCACAAACCCTCAGAGTCTATCGCGATCAGCTCGCTCGCTCTCTGTCTCATTCGTAACTTTTAAGTGTCTGAATCTCAGCTGTTTTTGATCCCAACCAGAGCTGTAGATAAAATAACTGCTTGAAAAACATGGTTCTGAGGGTCTTGCTTGGAGCGTGACTCCTGCTCCCACCTGCTGCCGACATGGACACTTTGCTAGAACATTTACGGGTTAAGGCGCATGTGGGGCTCGAGGACTTTTGACTGGACTTCACCACTCACCTTACCTCAACCAGGGGGACTGTGGATAGGGAAGATGATGATGATGATAAAATAACAAGATGCCTTCTGCTGTGACAATTATATGAATTAACATGTATTACTAAGACTCATTAAGTAGATTATTTCTGAAATTGGCTTTTAGGGCTATGGATATATAATTTTTTTTTTTTTAATTGTTTTTTGTTTTTTTGGCTATTTCCCTGCTTTTTTCCTTGTTTTAGACATGCTGTAGCAACGGAGACACAGAGATTACTTATAGAGCAGATTTTTGAATACAGTGATGATACTTATAATGGTAATGTGATTATTATAGGGAAGCGTGTGTGTGTGTGTGTGCGTGTGCGTGTGCGTGAGCAAGTGAGAGTGTGTGTGTGAGAGAGCTTCACGTGTATCCTCAGAACAGAAACAGTACTCTGTCTCTTGTCTCTTACAACCTCTCAGGAAAATCTACCTCTACCTCCAGTTTGATGCATTTAACCCGGTGAGGGCTCAAGTTACAGTTTGGCAGGAAGAGGACATGAGAATGGGCGCCGGCGTTTGAAGTGAACTTCAGCCGACCTCGATTGATATGAACGCCGTGCTTGTGTTAGATACAAACAAGACATTCTTGGTTGAGAGGTTCATTTCTGACGCCGGGGCGTCCGCCGCCCTCTTGTTTGTCGTTACACTTTCGTAACACTTCTGTTGTTTAGCTTATTTGAGTACCAACAACAGGGAACCTCCAGCTCAACAGCTAACTACTACCAGTACTCGGACAAGTACTGCTTCTCACACCACTGTCAGTTCAGAGTTTTGCAGTCTGCTCTATTAATGTGTGCTTATTCCTTCTTTTTTTTTTTTTCTATCAATGATCACATTTTTTCACAAGTGGGATGTTTCCCCAATGGCCACCACATCTGTGATGTGGCAGCGGGGCAATGCAACTGTTTATTTTGAAGGGTGAAGATCTGTTCTTGCCTATTTACTCAATATATGTTAGTGTGAATACTTTTATTTTGAATCTGAAATTAATAAAATATCACCTTTGTTAAATGTCAGATGTGTTTTGGATGTTATTTTAAGTATTTGGGACTAAGATTTAACAACCAGTTATCCTGAATTATACAGCCTCAGGGGAAATATTAGACTATGTCAGTATTTATTTAACAAAGATTAGACCATTAAGTACTAATGGTTTCACAGGAATTAAGAGATAGCAGAGCCAGTTGCTGCCAACCAGATTAATTGATCATCTTCAGGTGTGAGGAGCTCAGTAAAAGCAGAAGTTTAGACCCAGGCATCTTGCAATCACTTAGTCAACCATGAACTACTCGGTAGTAGATTTGAGCCCTATGGGAGTGTCCACCAAGAGGGACATGGACCCCCTATTGATCCTCTACCTAATCATACGTGCCAAGGTGTGGAAACGGGTGTGGGTCACAAACAGCCGAGGTTCCAGGCAAACCCACCGGGTACTCTGTAGACCAATGGATTCTAGAGTTAAAGACGAGGCCATCTGTCCAGCAAAAGCTTGGCTGAAATGAAACAGGACAATGATCGCAAGCACTGCAGCAAAATCTGCAACAAAAAGGCAAAAAAAAAAAAACAGGAAGCATCAAGGTGATGCAATGGCCCAGTCAGAGTCCAGACCTCAACCAGAGTGAAATGCTGTGGTCAGACCTTAAGATATCTGTGCATAAACGAAATCCCACAAACCTCTGTTGCCTGAACACTGTTGCAAAGAAGAGTGAGACAAAATTCCTCCACAATGATGTGAAATACTGAAATCTATGGTAAATGATTACTTCAGGTTATTGCTGCTAAAGGTGGTTTTACAAGCTAAAGAGTTGTGGGGTGTACTTTAGTTTTCCACACACCGCTTCTGCATTTAGTCTAATTTCACGTTAACTAAATAATGACAGAGTGTAATATGTGTTAGAAATCAGCCAAGGTGCCATTGTGTAGCCTGTAGGCCGTTTGTCTGTCCGTCTATGGATATGCCTCACCAGACCATCACTGACACACCACCAAACGGTTCATGCTAAACTATGTTACAGGAAGCATAATGTTCCCCCACAGCTTCTTCAAACCCTTTCACGTCTGTCACATGTACTCATGGTGAACCTGCTCTCATCTGTGAAAAGCACAGGGTGCCTGTAGTGGACCTGCCAATTCTGGTATTCTTGGGCTCTATGGTGCCAGTCAGTGAGGGCAGAGCCCACTAAAGGACATGGAGCCCTCAGGCCACCGTCATGAAAGTCTGTTTCTGATTGGGTATTCACACCAGTGGCCTGTTAGAGGTCATTTTGTAGCTCTGGCAGTGCCCATCCTGTTCTTTGCACAAAAGAGCAGATTCTGGTCCTGCTCGTGGATTAGGGTCCTTCTGCAGCCCTGCCCAGCTGTCCTGGACTAACTGCATGTCTGCTGGAATTGCCCCATGCTCTTGAAACTGGGTTGGCAGACACCTGAAGGAGTTGGAAAGAATGTCAGTGGCCTCCACCTGTAAAGCCTTTTCTGTTTTGTGTTTTCATTGTTGTCTAGTGTACTTGTTGTTAATTTCATTAACACCAAAACAGCTGGAACTGATTAACAACCCCCTCTGCTGTCCCAGATGTTTAACTGATGATGTTATCCTCTAATTAGAAAAGGTTAAAAGGTTTTCCTTTATTTTTTAGATTAATTTTACTCAAGAAACTGTTGCAAACTATCTAACAGAATATAAAGACTGTAAAAGCAACACCAGGGTTATTACTTGAAATCTTAAGATACTGCTTAAAATGAGTAGATCAATAATAATGTTCCTCTTGTACCTTTCCCATTGTAGTGTACATTTCAGTGTTTTTTCTGTAATGCAACCGTTCTCTGACTTGTATCCCCATGTGATGTCTGTGTTGTATGTGTAAGGTCGGGGGTGGGTTCATTCCACTGCAGGGCAACCTGCCACTGCATGTGTCGAATAAACTTTGAACTTGAACTTGATTGTCTCATTCTGAGTTGTCTTTGTACATTTACGCTGCTGCAGCACTTGTGTCTTTGACCTTGACTGCATCGAGTTGTTAAAATCCATTTACTGAAGCTTCTCACTTTACACATCTTATGGAAACTTGCAACCTAAAATAAACAAATACTAATGGTTATGAGCCTACCACCTGTTCACAGTATAGTCTTTGGAAATTATTTCTACATTAGTGAAAACAATTTAGCATAAAAAAAAGTTTTTATTTTTTCCCTTAAATGTTATATTTTTTTTTATTATTTGAAATATCTTGATAAGCAACAAGATTTGTATTAACAAAGGTGGTTGTGGGAGTATTTTAAAGTGCCATGCTGATGGCCAGATCCACAAGGATTTGAAAAGCTTTTTCTCCTCTGTACACAAATTCAGTGGATCTTTAAAAAAAAAAAAGCTAAGAGGTTTTCCTGCAAGAATGATGGATAGGTATGTAAAAAGGATTCAAATATCCTCTCCCAGAGATGCTGGACATGGAATGGCTTTACCATGTACTATTTCTTGTGACTGAAGATGCAGCAGAATGAATTACAACTACAGTGTATGCTTAAACTGCATTGGATGTGTCATGGTCCTGGGTCTTTTGACCCAGCGTTTTAAGTTTGAGTTTATTTTGTTCATTAGGTTATCTAAGTTCATTTGGTTATTAGACTCCTTGTGTTTTCTTCCCCTGTATTTACGCTTCCCCTCACCCTTTGTGTTTCATGCTGCGTGTCTTATGTTATCAAGTTTGTATTATTATGCCTAAGTGTTTCTAGTTATTATTTCCCCCTCGTGTTTCCAACTATGGTAAATCTCCCCTGCTCTTCATGTGTTTCATGTCTGTGTCTTACGTTAAGTTCTGGTTGTCATGTCTGCGTCTCATTATGTTTCCTATTTTATTTGGAAGAGATCCTGTGCTTTTATATTATGGGTTATGTTTTGAGTCCTTTGATATACTGTTTCTTGTTTCCCTAGATCTCAGTTATGGTTATCATAGGTTTAGTTCTTTGGCTTTGTTATATGGCTTCCCTGTGTTCCATGTTATGTCCACTGTGATGTTTTGTGCCATGTTTCAGGTTCCTATGTTCTGTCCCCCCAGTTGCTGTTAAGTTTGCGTGTTTTAGAATTCAGTCAGTGTGTTTCCTGTTTTACTTTGAAGGTCCATGTCTCATGTGAGTGTTTCTAGTTTTGCGTCCTTGCCTCGTCCTGCTTAATTACTCTCAGCTGTGCTCTCCTCCTGTGGCTCATTCCCCCTCGTTATCCCTCAGTATATTTAAGTCCTCTGTTTTCAGTGTGTGATTGTCAGGTCGTCTGTTGTCCACGCCATGTTTCCTATGCCATGCTTCCAAGTTTCTTGTCTAGGTTTTTCTTATTGTTTGTTTAGATTTCCCAGTTTAGGTTTGTGTTAATTTTGCTTCAGTTTGCCTTGCCCTTTGTTTGTACCTTTTTTTCCAGCCATATTAAACGGCTCGCTTTTTGTTAACATTCAAGTTTTGTTCCCTGTTCTTGGAGTCTGCATTTTGGGTCCTTTTTCAATTCATACAGTCTGCCCTCGCCAGACTGTGACAGGATGCAGCCAAACCGATAGGATGATGTCTTGCAGTACTGATAGGCAAATGCTTTGTCTCCTGAAGTCAGCTGGTCTGAGGGTGTGAGGAGAAAAGTCCTACAAACAAGCAGCAACTGAAGGCAGCTGTAGGAAAAGCCTGGCCAAGCATCCCAAGGGAGGAAAGTCAGAATGGTCTGACGTGCATGGATGCACAAGATTTGCATCCAAATTTAAAATAATCATTGCAGTTACTTATCAAAAGTAACAGACTCAAGCACATAGGAAATGAAGGGGAGAGTGCAGGCAGGGTGGAGACGGGTGTAAGGGGTGATTTCTGACAGAAGAGCAGTAAAAGTGAAAGGGGAGGTACAAGGTTTGGAGATGATGGCACTGTCAAAAAGCACAGACAGCAGAGATGGAGATGTTCAGATTTTCATGTGGAGTGATCAGATTGGACACAGTTAGAAATGAGTAGATCAAATCAAATCAAATCACTTTTATTGTCACATCACATGTGCAGGTACATTGGTACAGTACATGTGAGTGAAATTCTTGTGTGCGAGCTTCACAAGCAACAGAGTTGTGCAAAATACAATAACGTAAACAAGCAAAATACAAGAATGGCTACATCTGAAACTAATAAATATATGTACAATATATAATAGTATATGCATTTCTGGATGTGTATACTAAATATTTTTCTACGGTGTGTGTGTGTGTGTATACACATATTTTACAAATTAAATAGAGTAAACAATAAATAAAATATATAAAAATATACAGAGTTGAGACATGTGCAAAACATGCTGCAGAACCTCCTTCCTGATGGAAGTAGTCTGAACAGTTTATGGCTGGGGTGACTGGAGTCCTTGATGATCCTCCCCGCTTTCCTCAGGCACCGCTTCCTGTAGATGTCTTGGAGGGAGGGAAGCTCACCTCCAATTATCCGTTCAGAGCACCGCACTACTCGCTGGAGAGCTTTGCAGTTGTAGGCGGTGCTGTTGCCATACCAGGTGGTGATGCATCCAGTGAGGATGCTCTCAATGGCACAGTGATAGAAGGTCCTGAGGATGCGGGGGCTTCATGCCGAATCTTTTCAGTCTCCTGAGAAAGAAGAGGCGCTGCTGCGCCTTCTTCACTGTTTTGTTTGTGTGTACTGACCACGTAAGATCCTCAGCCAGATGTACACCAAGGAACCGGAAGCTGCTCACTCTCTCCACAGCAGCGCCGTTGATGGTGATGGGGGTGTGTACTTCTCTGCACCTCCGGAAGTCCACTATCAACTCCTTTGTCTTTGCGACGTTGAGGGTGAGATGGTTGTCTTGACACCAGTGGGTCAGGGCGCTGACCTCCTCCCTGTAAGCCGTCTCATCACCATTGGTGATAAGACCCACCACTGTAGTGTCGTCCGCAAACTTCACAATGAAGATCAGGATCAGGAAGACAGATTGAACAAGCAGTTTGGAAATAAAGTTAGAGAGGCTGAGATGGTTTGGATATGTCCAGAGGAGGGATAGTGGATATACTGTACAATGGATGTTGAAGATGGCACAGCAAGGAAGAAAAGAGGAAGAACATAGAGAAGATTAATGGATGTAGTGAAGGAGGAGATGTTGATGTGGCATAGAATAGGTGGCAGAGAATCTTGCAATAGGACTTAAAGGTACTGTGCTGCAGGGGTTGTAACAGACTCCACTTTGTTTGTGTGAATGGGGAGTCTGCCTAACACTAAGTTTCATCATGGAGTTCCACAGGGTTCTGTGCTAGAACCATTTATATTCACATTACACATGCTTCCCATTGACTGTATCATTGTGGCCTTTAATTTCTTACTGGGCCCTAAGAGTCTTAGAAACATGGGGTATGGTTGTTGGGGTTTTCTTTTGTAGGGTCTTTGCCCTAAAGCATCTTGAGGCCACTGTTGTTGCCATTTATGTAAATAAAATTGAATTAAAGTCTGAATTCTACACCTTAAATGCTTCATTTTAAGTTCACCGTGTATATTAAATTATGCAGTTTTTTAAAAAAGTAAGGTATGCTGTTACAGAAATTGCCTCTTTGCTCTTTAATAATCGTGCTCACCCAGAGGTTCTTTGCATATAAAATTCAAAGGGGGGTGGGAGTGAGGGCAACGTGACGGGCGTATCACGTTGACGCTGGCTTTTTTACAAAGCACCGCCCAATAAGCGTCTCCGCGGTGCTAAACCTATCGGAGCCCGGTAGATTCAAACGAAAGCGCTGATTCAGCGAGTGGGGGCGGAGCTACTTCTAGGTTCTGTTTGGTGCTTGAACAGCGAAGCGTCGGATTGAGAGCGATTATCTTCGTTACGGTGGCAAGTGTTACGTTTAGATGTTAACAAACCCCCACGTAAAGAAAAAAAAATGAGACTTAGGTCTCAGAAAACTATTGCTGCTTGTCCAGAGACACCGAGGCGCTCCCGTCGACGGTCTAACGGAAAAAGGAGTCGATCGCGCCTGTCCGGGTCGGAGATTGAAAGTCCGCTTCAAAGCAAGGTAATTTATTGTTTGTCGGGTTATTTCTCTATGGTGATAGTGCTGTTATTAATGTTGGTGGAACAGGTAAACATTAAGGTAGCATACAGAGCTGGATGTTGAATATCGTCCCTTTGTTAGGATGCTAGGCTAGTTAGCTAGCTACTAGCGTTCTCATAACAAAACAGCTAACAGAGTTGCTAACATTAGCACCTTCTCGATGGTAGGTAGCATTTGCCACAGTTCTCTAGTTCTATCTGGATCTGTCTGGACCTATTTAAGTAATTTTTTTTGGTTAATTTTAATTGGTAGGTTAAATACAGCAAGGAGGGTTGGTAGGGATATAGTTTCCAATTTAGACCTGAAAATAAACCATCGTGGTTGTAAATATAAGCTACTGTTAAAACCTCGACCTACTGATTAAGCTTTATGACTTTATGTTTAGATTTTAAAACGTGTTGGATTGGCAGACATGACTGTGACTAACCACTGTTTGCATTGTAGATTTAAACTGTAGATCATTCACTGGGTGTCGAAAAGAACAAAGGAAAACAATGTTGTTCATACAGATCCAATTCATTCTTAGTAGCTGCTGTCTTTAAGTCAATCAATCAATCAATGAAACTATCATTAGTATTATTTTTTTGTATTCTTTTCTTTTAACCTCTACACCGAGTCGTATTGTTGTGTGTTGCTTTAAATTACTAAAATGAAACAGTGAGTTAACTTTGGTTTCAAGTTTAATCCTTTACCCTAAAATTGAGGGTCTTTTCACCCATAAGAGAAACTTGAGAACATCTCAAAGAAGAAGCATACATACTAGGCAGCGTTAATCACATCACAACACTGGATTCCAAGAGGATTGATGCCAACAAGGATTAAAGGTCCCAGTTGCATGTGGAAGAGGGTCGCAGTAAAGTAGGTCACCAGGACACATCTTCCTGTTTAGACCCATTAGACTAGTGTGGATAGAGGCCATGCAGAACAGAATCCTATTCAGGGCAACATATGTGGTGACTTTGGTTGTTGGTTAAATCAACTTGATACTCAGGTTGAAATATGGGGCAAACTGCTGCTTGAAGAAAGGTTTATAACCATATTACAATTGTACTGTAAATAGCTGTGAAACTGTGTGGTCACCAAAATACAAGCTGACTTACCTTTAATGACGGCGTTTGAATGACGGCGTATTCACTACGTGAAGGCTTAAAAATAGCCAAATCTTGTATCCATCCTAGGTGAATTGGGTGTGTTCCTCCAGAGATTTATAATTGCGAAATTGGTTCGCCCTATATGTGCTGACTCCTCAGACAAGGTACGAGAATAAATAGCGGTTGGTCTTCAGGGTTTCTACTCCACTGCCGTATTTCATACGGGTCCACATTTCCAATGCGCACAATTTTTTGCAAGTACCGTCTCTTTGCATCTGGACACAATCTGTCTCTATAACGTCCTTTTTCTTTTGAGTTGCTTTTAAGTATGGTTCATAGCAATCTTCCTTCCAACACAGTGTGTTTGTTTTGATTCGTGGCCTACTAAAATGGTGCCGCGCTCCCACAATGCATTGCGGCGTGAACTCCAAAGCCCCATTGTCCTTGGTGATGTAAGACTTGGATGCAGCTGCTGGCCATGGAAACCTATTCTATGGAGCTCTCTACACGCTGTTTTTGAACTAATGTAAATTTCACAGTTTAGAGGTCTGTAATGATTGACTCTGCTGAAAATTAGCGACCTCTGTGCACTATGCGTTTGTTGAAACAATCTGCATGCCTAGGTGTTCCCGTGGAAGTAATCCAAACACCTGAATTCAATGATTTGGATGAGTAAGTGAACACTATAGTGTGGAATAGAATAATCCTTTATTGTCATTGTACGTGTACAACGAAACTATGGGTGCTCTACAGAAATGAAATATAAATAGTAAAACAACAGGAATAAATGGCATACAGAAGATATATATACAAGCTAGAGGCATGTCAGCAAAACAAGAGAAGGGGACACATTGAAGAGCAAAGTGCTTGGAAGCAGTGCAAAGGGGTTGGTCTGAGTATAGAGTCCGTATGTGAGGCCTGAGTGATGGGGATTACTCAGAACGTGGCACAGATTGGTGGGGGGATGGTGTTTGTGAGGTGTAGGACCTGATTAACCTGAAGTGCTGACCAGAGGTCAGCAGGCCTTCCTGTTCTCAGTCATGGCCCCTGCGTACCAAACACCCAGGCAGTAGGAAAGCTTGCTCTCCATCGAGGAGCGGTAGAAGGTCAGGAGCAGCTTCTGGTCCAGGTTATTCTGGAAGTGCAGCTGCTTTTGGGTCTTCTCTAACAGAATTTTTTTTTATAAACGTGGGACACTGATTGAGACATCCTGAAGTAATGCACTATTACGCTGTTTTAAATGCGTAATAGGTAATAATGAAGGTGTTGCTTCACTGAACAGTTTTTTCTTCTTGTTGTTTTTATTGTGTAGGATGAAGAGACTGTGAATAAAGACTCAGAGGATGAAGTTCCCACTATGGTGAGGCGACCGCTGCCTCGTGGCCGGGCGAGAAAGAGGGCTATTGCTGTGAATGACCAAGAATCAGGTATTTTAGCGCCATCGGCTGATTCTGCTTTAAAGCACAGTTACACTACCTGTTAGTTGTTAGTTGAAATGCTCATCGTTTTCTGTTGTGTTTTCTGAATGACTCTCATTTTACTGTCTAGATTTGACCTTCAAGACTCCAGTCCGTCCCATCATGCACCACGAGCGCATACTGTCAGAGATCGACCCTGTGACTCCGCGTAACGCGACAACAGCTAGAAACATCTACTCACCCATTGTGCGTTTCCTCACACCCAGCAAAGAAAGTGAGTACCAGTCATCCATTTGAAACTTGTTTACATGTAACAAAAGTCTCTCATTGAGAGACGTCACCATACAACTGAATGTACAGTGGGGCAAAAAAGTATTTAGTCAGCCACCGATTGTGCAAGTTCCCCCACCTAAAATGATGACAGAGGTCAGTAATTTGCACCAGAGGTACACTT